TTGCAGCGAAGATGGTGGGCGGAGCCATGAGCCTCGATGTGGTCCCCAGACACAGATCCACTAACGGCTCACTCTTTGATCCTGTTTCTCTCGGTCGCATCGGCAAGACAGGCCAGAGGAAGGACAACAGAGCTGAAGCCAAGGCTTCCAAAAGATATTCCCCAGGGACAACTGGTTCGGGACCTCCAGCAGGGTCTTGGTGTGGCTGTCGGCAGCTTCGCGCATGACTCTGAGAATCTCATGGAACCGGGGCTCGGTGCTCGGGGTCACCGGACTTCTCTCGCTCGGGTCTTTGGAAATATCAAACAGCAAAGGAGGGTCGTGCGGAGTGATAAATTTTCCAAAACAGAAGCACACGTGTGTAGAAAAGCATCCGTTGGCGCCCTTGGGCGTGAAGTTGGGGGTGAAGAGGAAGGCTTTCCAGATGGACGTGCCTGCAACGTAAAAGGGCAGAGAAAGCGTTAGCGGGGACGTGTCTGGTGCTCCCACGGAGGAGAAGTCACCCAGGGGCTGCCTTGTGCCTGCAGGGATGGATTCTGCAGCTATGGACAGGGCAGACCTACTAGTATCTCATGCACAAGGCCCAAAAGGTAAGGGCCACAGGGTGAAAAGAAATGCAGAACTGGGTCAGCAGGTGGTGCAGCAGTTGAGGTGCTGGACTCCCACAGGGCCGACCACGGTTCAAGTCCCAGACCTGGCAGATTGAAATTCACGCCGGGCGCATGTGCGTGCGTGCCCAAGATCCTGAGAGGAGAATGGAGGAGAAGGGATTGCAGCATGGCCATCTCCCCTGGGGGGTGATTTCTCACTTTCTCTCTGTGTCTCTAATGCATGCATGTACCCTATAGCAAAAGAAACAAACAAACAAACAAACAAACAAAAACAACTGTCTCCAAAACAAACAAACCAAAACAACAACAACAACAAAACTCCTGCAGTATGCCTAACAGCCCACAGTGGCACAGGGAATAGAAACTGATGAACTGATTGATGGTGGCCAGAATCCCCACTTAAAAAATGGAAACTTTCTGGGACCAGCAGATGGCATAATGGCTATGTCGCTGGACTCCCATGTAGTCAACCACGGTTCGCGTCCCGGACCCGGTGGCTTAAAACTCATGCTGGGCATGTGTGCGTGCATGCCCAAGATCCCGAGAGGAGAATGGAGGAGAAGGGATTGTGGTGTGGCCATCCCCCCTGGGGGGGTGATTTCTCACTTTCTGTCTCTCTGGCAATTGCATGCGCCCTGTAGCAAAAAACCTCTCCAAAAATAAAAAAATTAAAAAAAGGAAATTTTCCATTTCCTTTTTATGTAAAAAGAAAAGAAAATCCATCTCCCTCTCTCTGTCTCTTCTGTCCCCCTCCTTCTCTTTTTCTTGCTCTTTCTCCCTCTCTCGCTGTCTCCCCCTCTAGTTCCCTTCCTCCCTCTTTCTCTGCCTTCGTCCCTCCCTGTCTCTCCTCAATTTCTATCTCCCCGTTTCTCCCTCTCTGCTTCGGTCTGTCTCTCCCTCTCTGTCTCATCTCCCCTGCCCCAAGCACTAAGTTATTAGACAGCGGTCTCCTGACAAGCAAACAGCACGTCAGTTAACTGTGCCCGTACAGAACCCACTCAGGATCCCCTGTTCCATGTCATAAACATTGGCGCTTGGGAACGAAGCGTAGGTATTCAGTAAATACGGACGGACTTATTCCGGGCTCACGGCTCTGCCGTCTCGCACACTCCCACTTCACCATCTTAGACTCGCAACCCGCGTTTTCACTTCCAACACAGGGGAGGGAAGAGGCAGGCGTGAGAGATGACAAAGCCGTGCACAGACACACGCGTGCAGACAGCCACTGAGGGACGGTCCAAACAAATCGAATTAAGAATTCAATGAGGCTAGCAAGGAGCATGGGGAATGACTGCAAGTGAGGAACAGCAGACATGATTTTCTGGGTGTGAAAGTCAATGTTCTAAAATTAGATTGTGACCAGGGTGGCGTGACTCTCCGTTTACTCCAAGAGCTTTAAATCGCAGTATCACAGCATGCAAATCATACCTTCAGAGACCTGTCAGGAATCCAAAATTAGCTAAGTTCACTGACACTGAGGGAGCAGGGTTCATCTTTAAAAGGTAAGACCTAGGTGGTGAAGGCATGGAGCTCTTGAGTCCCCGGACCCACAGGCTTGAAACATGCCGGGCGCGTGTGCGTGCGTGCCCAAAGTCCCGAGAGGAGAATGGAGGAGCAGGGATTGCGGCATGGCCGTCCCCCTTGAGGGTGACTTCCCACTTTCTGTCTAAAGCTGTCACTCTGGGAAGCACGTGCATCCTATAGCAAAAATCTCTTAAACACACATACACACACACACACACACACACACGAATAAATAAAGTGTGTGGTCTCTGTTCCATTAAACCGCCAAGTATTTGCATTTCTAGGGAAAAGCGACCCACAATTCTAAAATGATGCATTCGTTTCCTATTATGGGACAACATTCTAACTTTCTGAGGCGCTGTTCTGAAACATCTGGTAGGGTCCTAAGAAGGCTTTAGGGGATAAAAAATGTGGCAGATTAGAAACAAACAAACAAACAAAAACCAGAATGAGCATGCGCCCATCAAGAAGAATTAGGTGCAGGTGAGGCGTGCCATTGTAGCACAGGGAAAGCCTGTTCGGGTTGCTGTGACAACGGGTGTGTGCCAAGGCTGTGGCAACTTCCGTCATTATAGCTGGTTACCATTCAGGATCGACTGATTGCAATACACAAGAAGTGAGTGGAATCGATTTCAAACAACAGCCACCCGTGTCTGCCTTGTCCCCGGATAGCCTCAGACTAGCTTATTTCTGGGGAAGGTCAGCATCTCTGTTTTCCTTTTCTTTTGCTTTTATTATTATTATTATTTTTCTGCAGGAAGCTGGGAAACAGAGCAGGCAAGGTGAAGACGTTCTAATGAATACATCCAGGGGGGTTCGTAACGAGATGCCTACAGCCTGTGCTGTCGTGATTCTCGGAGACGCAGGACACGGCATCTGTGTCCCTCTCCCCGTGCTCAGCGCACCTGCCTTCTCGAGATAAGGTCAGGTTGACACGCAGACGCGCCTGGCTGCAGGAGGCATTTCAGGACTCGGCTCCTGTCTCCAGCAGGGTTTAAAAGGCGGTGGGTAACCGGAAGAAGGGTCTGCACATCACCTGTTTTTCATCATGCTTTCTTACTGGGGATGAGTGATTTGCTTTCGAGGCCTTCCGGGTGACGGAGGGGGGCATTGGCAGCCACTCTGAATCCGTCATGAGGGTCAGCGGGGACCGCGTGACCATAGACAGGAGTGAGCCAGGAAGCCCCCCCCCACACACACACACACCCTTCGTCTTCCAAGGGCTGCAAATCTAGAGGGCGTTTTGAACTTGACATTCAAGTCAAGCCTCGGTGTGCTTAAAACCCCAAGAGAGTGTAGGCTGCTGGAAAAGATTCATTTCAAGGGCCCGTATTTCCCACTCGGTTCTGAAAGCACCTCACACGGATCCGTTATTACCAGCTTAGAGCTGCCCTGCCCAGATGTGACCGGAAGATCGATGCAAGGCCCTGGCATGGGACCACAGGGCCTCCATGCCCACGACAGGCTGTGGTTTTGCTAAACAGCTCCGACGAGTCTACAACCAAGAAGCATTTTTCTCAAGGATGACTTAGTCAGCTAGGAATGTTTGCCTTTTTTTTTTTGGTCAGAGGGCATGTGCACTTACCAGGCGCAGAGACAGAGAGACACAGAGAGGGAGAGGAGAAAGTTCCAGCCCCCTTCCCTACAAAGGGGGATGGTCACACCCCAGTCCCTTCTCTCCCATTTCTCCAACCTGTTGGGACCTTGGGCATGCATGCACACGTGCCCAATCCCAAGTCACGCGCGCTGGGATCAAAACCATAGTTGGCCACATAGAATCCAGCTTCCATAACCAGTAGGCCACAGGGCCAGTGAGGATTGTCTGCCTTTCCATCTTTGAATTCTTAAAAAATCTTTTCTATAGGGGCCAGCAGGTGGTGTCGTGGTTAAAGGTGCTAGACTCACACATGGCTGACTGAGGTTTGAGTCCTGGACCTAGCAGCATGAAAATCACGCCCGACGTGTGTGTGTGTGTGTGTGTGTGTCTGCGCCCAAAATCCCAGGAGGAGAATGGAGGAGAAGGGACTGCGGCATGGCCATCCCCACTGGGGAGTGATTTCTCACTTTCCCTCTCACCATCTCTCTCTGTCTCTCCTTTCTGACAAATGCATGCATCCCAGAGTAGCAACACCTTACACAAAAAATGCAAAACTTACTTATAAAAAGATAAGTTCTTTGTGTCTGTATTATGTTTTTGGATCCAGTTTGGATTTGCTCAAATGAGAAAAACAGAACTGTTTTTGATGGAACGCGGGTCCACGAGCCTACTGCGGTTCGAGTCCCAGACCCAGCAGCTTAAAACTCACAGCAGGCATGTGTGCGTGCGTGCCCAAGATCCCGAGGGAATAATGGAGGAGAAGGGACTGCAGTATGGCCGTCCCCCCTGGGGGAGATCGCTCATTTTCTTTCTCTCCTTCTCTATCTGTCTGGTGAGCACATGTACCCAATAGCAAAACACTCTCTTTGCAAAAAAAAAAAAAAAAAAAAAAATCTCCTGGGGGGCCCGCCGGGGGCCCTGATAGTAAAACGTTTGAAAAAAAAAAAAAAAAAAAAAGTCTCCTGGTGGGCCTGCCAGGGGCCCTGATAGTTAAGGTGGCATTATTTGAGTCCCAGGCCTGGCAGCTCAAAAAACATGCCGGGATTGGGGCCAGCAGGTGGCTAAGGAACTGGATTCCCACATGGCAGACTGAGGTTCCAGTCCCAGATTAGCAGCTTGAAAATCACGCCAGGTGCTTGCGTGTGCGTGCCCAAAACCTCAGGAGGAGAACGGAGGAGAAGGGGTTGCGGTGCGGCCGCCGCTCCTGGGTGGGGGCGGAGAGGGCGATTTCTCACTTTCCCTCTCACTGTCTCTGTCTCTCTGCTGACTGCATGTGCCCTGTGGCAAAAAACTTACCAGATGTGCAAAAGGTACTGGGCTAAGATCGAAGACGGTGTTAGAGCATGCAGACTTACTATGTGTGTGTGTGTGTGTGTTTATGTTTGAGAAAGAAAATTTGCTGTTTATTTGATCTCTGTAAGGAAGGAAGTTTGCACGGTGGCACATCAACCACAGTCATGAAGTCATGGTGGCCCTCTGATTGATGACGTTAATGCCATCTTAGGTCACATCTATTAAAACTTTAGGCGATGGGACCAGCAGGTGGTGTGATGGTGATGTCACTGGACTCCCACATAGTTGACCACGGTTTGAGTCCTGGACCCAGCAGCTACAAACTCATGCCAGGTGTGTGTGTGTGTGTGCATGCCCAAAATTCTCAGAGGAGACTGGAGGAGAAGGGATTGTAGTGTGGCCGTCTACC